CCTCTGGGGGTGGTGTGCTTGGTGCTTCGGAGGTCGACTCTGGGGCTGCCGCTGCCCCGGACACTACTCCTTCCCCCCACCCCTACCCGACCAGGTTCCAGGCTCGTGTTCGCCGTGCTCGTGAGGAGCAGCTGGAGTTGGAGAGAGAGGAGAGAGAGTTGCAGCGGCTCGAGGAGCAGGAGCGACAGCAGCAGGAGCAGCAGCAGGAGCAGCAGCAGGGGCAGCAGCCGCTGGAGCAGCAGCAGCCGCAGCAGCAGCAGCAGCTGCTGCCGTCTCCTCCTCCTGTCTCGGGTCTTCGGACCCTTGGTCTCCCGTCTCCCTCTCCTTCCTCCTCCCCCTCTCCTCCCGTCTCTGGTCCTCCGCTTCCTCCTCCTGACCCCTCTCCCGTTGTTTTCCCTCGTTCTCAGTCTTCGTTGTCTCCTCCTCCTTCTCAGACTTGGGCCTCTCGTCGCTCCCCTCGTGCTCGTCCCTCGTCTCCTGTTCCCTTCACTGACCTTCGTACAGCCTTCCTTTGTTCTCGTCCACCTCGTCCGTCTCCGTCTGTGCTTCCGTCTCCTCCTGAGTCGGCCCTCACTGTGTCGCTTCCTTCTCCTGTCACTGACTACTACCGCACGTACCGTCCTGTTCTCTCTCGTGTTCTCGCCTCTCTTGTTACCCACCCTCGTGCCTCTGTGTCCTCTGTGTCCGCTCTTACTGCCGCAGTCACTGAGTTTGCCTCTACCCGCCGCCTTGACTTCGCCACCGCTCTTGTGGCTGCTCCTCCTTCCAGTCCTCTGGCCGTCGGGGGTGTGTCTGCCCTTGGCTGTGACGCCCTAGAGGACAGGCAGTTTGAGCTAGAGTTCCTGGCGGCCGCTTCCCCTCATCTCTGTGCCATGCTCCTCGCCCCTGAGGGTGACCCCGACGCCCTTGACATTCCGACTCCTCGCACTTATGCTGAGGCAGTGTCAGGGCCTTGGGCCTCTCAGTGGAGAGCTGCCATGGACGCAGAGATGGCCTCCTACAGATCCACAGGCACCTACGTCGATGAGGTTCCCCCTCCGGGGGCGAACGTAGTCGACGGCATGTGGATCTACAGGGTGAAGCGGCCACCGGGATCTCCTCCGGTCTTCAAGGCGCGCTACGTGGCTAGAGGTTTCAGTCAGCGCGAGGGAGTTGACTTCTTTCAGACCTTCGCGCCCACCCCGAAGATGACCACTCTTCGGGTGTTACTACACGTAGCAGCACAGAGAGACTACGAGTTACACTCTCTCGACTTCTCTACTGCTTTCCTTCAGGGCAGTCTTCACGAGGAGGTCTGGTTGCGTCGTCCCTCTGCCTTCACTGGCTCTTTCCCTCCTGGGACCCAGTGGAGGCTGAGGCGACCGGTTTACGGTCTTCGTCAGGCTCCTCGTGAGTGGCACGACACCCTGCGTTCTACCCTGTCTGACCTTGGGTTCCAGCCGTCTTCTGCTGACCCGTCGCTGTTCGTTCGTCGTGGCCCCACACCTTTCTTTGTTCTGGTCTACGTTGACGACCTTGTTTTCGCCACCCCTGACAGGGTTGCTTTGGCACACGTGAAGTCCGAACTGCAGAAGAGACACACCTGCACTGATCTTGGTGAGCTGCGCCACTACCTTGGCCTGCAGATCACCAGGGACAGAGCTGCTCGCACCATTACACTTTCACAGTCACACATGGTGCAGCAGGTCCTTCAGCGGTTCGGGCTTCAGCACTCCACAGTACAGCGCACACCTCTTGCTGTTGACCACAGACTCACTGGACCCTTTCCTGACGAGCCGTTCGAGCCTAGTGGTCCCTACGCAGAGCTTGTGGGTTGCCTCATGTACCTGATGACTTGTACTCGCCCGGACCTCGCCTTCCCTCTCAGCGTTCTTGCGCGCTTTGTTGCGCCAGGGAGACACCGTCCTGTTCACTGGACGGCAGCTGTGAGGGTGGCGAAGTACCTAGCGACGACATCAGGCGTGGGGCTAGTTCTTGGAGGGCAGCAGTCTGTCGTACTTACTGGTCACTGTGACTCCTCTTATGCTGACGACGCTGAGACTCACAGGTCTACTCAGGGGTACTGTTTCAGCCTGGGTTCTGGAGCTGTTTCCTGGCGGTCCACGCGCTCCTCTTCGGTCTCGACCTCTACAGCTGAGGCTGAGATCTACGCTGGTGCCATGGCGGCACAGGAGCTGCGTTGGTTGACCTTCTTGCTCACCGACCTTGGTGAGCGGCCGAGCTCTGCACCGACCTTGTTCACTGACAACAAGGCGTCTATTCTCCTTTGTCGAGAGCCACGACTGGAGAGCAGAGTGAAGCACATTCACGTCAGGTACTTTCTTCTGCGAGAGTTGCAGAGGCGTGGACAGGCTCGCTTTGAGTTTGTGGAGTCCGAGGCCAACACTGCAGACATCTTCACCAAGGCGCTTCCGCCTTGTGACCACCAGAGGTGCTGTGTGCAGTTAGGCCTTGTTGACACTGGTTCTCGTGTTGCTTAGACTTGAGTGTACTGTTTACTTTGCTTTCTATATATCTCTGTTACTTCTTGGACTGGCCTTGTGGCCACTGTTGTTTGTGCTCAGACTGTGTGGTGACGTTGTGATCCACCCTGAGCTTCGTTTCTTGGACTGGTCTTGTGACCGTACTCGTTTGGTTCTGCTAGACACCCCTCACTTAGGCTATGGGGGTGTGTCAAATGTTGTAGCCTATAGTGAGGTTTGTCTTAGGGGGTACAAAACTTAGGGTTAGCTATATGTACCCCAACCAACATCAATGCATCATCCATTCTTCATTCTGACAATGGGGTCCAGGAGTTGCGTAGGCCGGCCAGGAGAACGAGTTAGTTGCTCCTCGCGGCCATAGTTTTACAGGGCACTCCTTCGGCACCGCCAGATCCTTGCCTCGAACGGTCGCGATCGACCGTGACCTCCCTCCCCCCGGGCAACGGACAGCTAAAGCTGTCGCGACTTGAAAACGTGAGTTATTTCCGCTGCGTCGCGACGATTTCGGAGTTATTTCCGTGTGGCAGCTGGCGTCAGCGGATCTGCGTCGGCACCTGCACGAAATTTTCGGAGTCGTCGTCCTGTGCGGCAGTTGGCGTGGTTGTTCGTCAACGTGCACGCGAGAATTTCGGAAGAAGCTACTGTTGAAGAAAAAACAAGGGGCAACTGTACGGACTCGCCAGGCGCTAAAGTAATTGCGTCGGGAAAAGTCCGTGACGAGGAGAGACGCCACGACGACTGCCCGACTATTGCGGGAGTCAACTGCCGTCCCGCCCGACCGTTTAAGTGCAGCGGCTTTTACTGTTGTGTCAGGGCGATTTTGCTATGATTGGGCGAAAATCTTGTGATGTAAAGGCTCAGATTTGCTATGTCAAGGAGATTTCGCTTTGGCAGTGCGAATCTGCTGTGACCCGTAAGTCCGAATCACCAGTCAAGGACGCGTTTGTACTCTGAATGATCAGAGTACACTCTCAGAAAACTCTGAACTCTCAGAGTTAGCCTTAAAAAAAGTCTGAAAATTACAGAGTTGAGGCCCAAAAAAGTCTGATTTTATCAGAGTACACAGGAAAAAAAAACCGAAATATCAGAGAAAAAAGCCCAAATCAGAGAAAAAAGTCTGACTTCTGAGGGCCTGATTTACATTCACTCTGCTATTGAGGTCAAGGGCCCACCAACTATTTCACTGCGTGCGAACCTTCCTGGGTAGATCCCGGGCTACGATCAACTTCTGATCGCAACAATTGTTAATTTTTTCTCACGCGGTTCGAAATGTCAATGCACCTAGTCTGCCTGCTATGCCAATTTTGCGCGGGAAAAAATTCCCACGCGTTTCAACCATGCCCCAGCCAAGCGATGGAAGACACGACGAGTGTACAGTCAATTCTGTCGCCCAATTAAAAGCACCCAACTGTGCATTTCGCGTGGTCGCCTAGTTTCGCGGTACATTCTTTCTTTGTGACGCGACATTGACAAATTTGTTCGACGCGACTCGGGAAAACGGGGGTTGAGACACAAGTGTCTCCATAGGAACGTTCCCTTATTGCATGTAAACATGGAGCGTAGAAAATGTTCCACCTCTTGTGCGGTTTTGTAATTCAGCCTTTCGGGGCGAGAAATTTCGCAACAATGTGGGAGCTGCTGTTTACGGAGCAGGCGCGGACAGGTGTGGCAACCAAAGCAATGCACAGCTGTAATGGGGGTAAAGTCCCGCTGCACATAACACCTACAGTACATTCAGAACAGAAAGACAAAATTGACATGCGCGATTATTGCCAATAAATCAGCCCCAACTGCACGCGGTTGATGACTGGAACCAGGTCTTCAGATTCGTTTTGGGCGACCCTTAGTAATCAGGGTCCTAGGTATAGTCAACCCTGATGCTCAGGGTAATTTTTTTGTTTCCCTGACAAATGCAGGGTAAAAAATTTGTAAGTCTGTTTGGTCAGGATAATCTACGTATATTAATAGTGCTAAAGCTGAAGGTATGGTAGTTGTTGGCTTAGTTTGTTCGATTACGAGATAGATTAGAAAGGTCGCCAGTTCGAGTCACATTATCGGGAGGATTTTGCTATAGTGTTTCGTCTCGCTACGGTCTGTTCGGATCAGTGTAACTGGGCTTGTACACTGTACAGTCAGAGAAAAATGTTCGTTACGCTGTTTTTAAAAGGGTATTAAAAAACTTACACTTTCTGGCCTAGGGTAAAAAATCCACTACCCTGCCTGTGAAAGGGTAACTGAAAAAAAGCGGCCGCCAGTCAGTGCAAAAAGGGTATTTTACCCTTATAACGAGAGGCCTGGCTGGAACTTGTGAAGGGCTGACATGTCCCATCATGTGGCACTGATTCCAGTCAGTGAATGTCACAAAAATTGAGAACCCATCCTGGGTGGGTCCCACCTACATGAAATCCACATGCTGTTGTACTTTCTTCTAACCAACCCATCCCCTAGCCACAGGAGCTCAGCTGAGGCCCTGGCTCTCACTCAAGCCCTCAGCTGCAGGCGCACCAAACTGGCATCTCAACTGCCCACTCTGCTGTGCCTCTCACCCTCCTCTGTGCCACCCAAGCCCGCTGTTGTCCCCACCTCCCCTGAATGGGCCTGCCCTTGCAACACCACTGTGGGATGTTCCTTCCACCCCTTCCCACCACACCCCACCCACTGCTCACAAGAAGCGGCCTCGGGGGCAGGCAGAGGTGGCAGCAGCCCCATCACCATCACAGCTGCCCCGTCCTTCTGACCGCCCTCACCCTGCCCCGCACAGGCAGCCTCTCCCACACCCGCCGACCCTGAACCATCCCTGCAAGCTGCTTCGTCCCCTGCGCCTGGCAATCCTGCGTGGCTCCCGCGCTCACACTGCGCCCTCCCCGCCACGACATGCCCACACCGCACACAGCCACTCTGCAGCACACACTGCTCTCCCTGCATTGCCTCGCACTCCTCATCCGCACCTCCTCTCCCCACTTGCCCTGCTGCTGCACACTCAACTCCACTGCTCACTGCCCCCTCTATGCCACCCTCGCCTCCTTCACACCCGTGTGCTGCGTCTGCATCCCTCGCCCCCACCCCAGCATGACATGTGGCAGCAGCCCTATCCTCCCCCACCTGCTGCCTGCGCGTGTGTGAGCCTCCCTCTTCACGCCCCTCCACCCCATGCATCACACTCGCACACCCCTCCAACCCATCGCCTCTCCCCTCAACCCCCTCAACTATCCTGTGCCCACCCAGCTGAACCACGCATCCCTCCTCCCTGTGTGTTTGCCTGCCTTGCCCCTCCCCGCTAGTCTCATCTCCACCTGATTCATGTGCTACCTGCACCGCCTCTCCCGCAGATGCACTGCCCCACTGCATCCCATCCACTTGTACGTGCACCGCATCAGTGTTCTCCTGGCAGCTCCTGGCACCAGCCATGTGCTCGTGTGCACTCATGCAGCCATGCCCCTCCACTACCCCATCCACAGCAACTGCTGCAGGCAGCGCCAAGCCCATTACTTCCCTGCTGCACCCTTCACTCTCTTTTTCCCCTCCCCCCATGCTCCACACATCCCCACACCCCTGCCCAACCCCCCCCTCGCCCTCATGAGAGAGCGGTAGAGCAGGGATGGGGGCGAGTGTAGCAGGGGGGGGTTGGAGGGAGTGGAGCATGCAGGAGGAGGGCACGAGCGGCGCTGGGCGAGGGCTGGCAGGGCGAGGTGGTTTTTGAGAATTCTCAAAAATTGGCACGAAGGGCGCTGGGCGTGGGCTGGCAGGGCGAGGGCTGTCAGGGCGAGGGCTGGCAGGGCGAGGGCTGTCATCGCTTCCACAGAGGGGCTCTGAGATGGTGACCTCAGCATGCGGGAGAGTGATGTCAGCAGGCTCATGCGTGACGGAGGCAGCGCGCAGGGGGAAGTGCGGCAAGGGCAGCAGCAGGCTGAAGCCACACCCCTCCTCGCCCAGCGTGACATCAGCGCGGCGCAGGGTGACGTCAGCGCGGCGGTACGTGACGGCTGCTCGCTGCTTGGCCACTGATGAGGGCGACGGGAACGACGGCGACGGGAACGATGGGAACGACGGCCTCGGCGCCACTGGACTGCTGCCCGCCCGCTGCTGCTGCTGCTGCTGCTGTGGTGAGGGGGAGAGCTGAGGAGCCGATGTGGGAGGAGGGAGAGGGGGGCTTGCCTGCTGTGGATGGGGGCCGGTTGGCGGCACAGGCAGCAGCATGGGAGGCGGGGTGGCCGGCGTGGCAGGGGGAGCAGGAAGAGCGACACGTGGAGAAGGCGGCAGGCAGGCAGGCCCACCTGACTCGCTGCACCCATCGCCACCCACACGTGCCGCTGCATGCCCCCCTGCACAGCCTGCCCCAGCACAACCCAGCCCACTGCCACATGGCCCCACTGCTTCGCCCCCGCTGCCATGCTGTCGCCCGCCATCCACCAACTCTGCACTCCCCTCTCCACCATCGCCAACACCTGCCCCACCACCCCTCACCCCACCCTCGCCAACCTCCCCACCTTCTTCACCCTCCCCACCCGCTTCACCCTCCCCACACGCTTTACCCTCCCCACGGCAGTGATGCCCGTCCAGGCATTCACCCGGAGCTGTACTGTCAGCACGCGGAGAAGCAGCAGCAGCAGCAGGAGCAGAAGAGGCAGCAGGAGAGGCAGCTCGAACGGCATCAGAATTCAGAGCAGCGGCAACAGCAGCATCAGGAGAAGTTGCAGCGGCAGGAGCAGCAGCAGCAGCAGGAGCAGGAGCAGCAGCAGACGCAGCCGCAAGAGGAGCAGCAGGAGGAGGTGATAGGGGCGGTGGGGCACATGCATGGACTGCAGTGACGGCTGGCAGGGCGGCTGGTGAACGAGCGGCATCAACGAGGTGGTGGGGAGGAACAGGGGGCATGGCAGGGGGTATGGCAGGGGGCATGGCAGGGGGCATGGCAGGGGGCATGGCAGGGGGCATAGCAGGGGGCATGGCAGGGGCCATGGAAGAGAGCATATCGGTGGGCAGGGCTTGAGCAGAACGGAGGAGAGCGAGGCAGTGGCAGGCGCGCTCCAGCGCCGCATCAGCCACCTGCTGCACCTCGCTCGCCCTCGCCCTCGCTGCGCGTGCCCTCGCCCTTGCACTCCTCGCCCTTTCTCTCGCCAACCCCACCTCCGCCTCCACCCCTTGCCCCACCTCCGCCTCCACCCCTTGCCCGTCCACCTCTCGCCCCAGCCAGTCGCTGCCTATGGCTGCACATGCTGGGTCCCGTGCGGCAGACGGACGCACAGTAGGAGGGCGAGGGGGACGAGGCCATGGCACGTGGGGAGGGAGGAGGAGCGGCGAGGCAGGGAGGGAAGGAGCGGGGTTGAGGGGCACAGGCAGGAGCAGGTGGGCAGGGGACAGGCCGGCCCTGCTGGGCCTGCCTGGGCGCCACGCAGCAGCGTGGCAGGCCCAGGCAGCAGCGCTGCCCGCGTGCCCCCCCCCACTGCCTGCTGCTCGCCACGACCGCTGTCGCTTTCGGTGGTACACCACCGGGCCCTTGCCCGCCCCTCCACCCACCCCATCCTCCGCCTCTCCACTTTTCACGTCAGCACCACCGCTCTCTGCTCCCGCCTCTCTCCCTACCTCCCCCTCCCCGCGACACTCTTCATCTTCAGCACCTTGCCCAGCACACCCCAGCACCTGTGCGCTCACTGCACCCCCGGCCACTATGGTGTGTGCCTCGCGCCCACCAACTGCTGCCACGGCGCCACCACTGCCACGCACGCCAGGCGCCTTTTGAGTCGACTCAAAAGCCACTGTGGTGTGTGCCTCGCGCCCACCAGCTGCTGCTACGGAGCCACCACTGCCACGCACGCCAGGCGCCGGCGCCGCTAGCCTGCTCGCCCGAGGCAGCCTGTCACCCACCACCCGCCTCCCCCCGGTGCTGCTGCCTACGTGAGCGTGTGCGTCGAGACCTGCTGCCTGCATCTCTGTGCCACTCACCGAGCTGCCGCCACTTGCTTGTGTGCGCCCTGCCTCGCCTGCTACCTCCTCCGCCTGCCCTGCCAACCCCACATGCTGCTGTGTCTGCTGCAGCACCAACACTGCCCGCGCCCTGCGCCTTCCCCCCCTCCCCCCTGCGCCTGCCCTCGCGTGCACTCTACCTCTCACACCAAACGGCAACAGCAACGGCCTACCCTCCGCCCCGCACTGCGCCCACTGCCCCACGCCCGCATCCCTCGGCGCTGCACCCCTGCCCTCCGCTGGCGCCGCCACAGCAGCACCAGCTGCTGCTGCTGCCTGCGCGGTTCCACTGCGTGCGCCACCCTTATTGCCCATGCGCGCGTGCGCCAGCGACAGCAGCTCTGACCGCACACCCGCCGCTCCACACACCTGCCCCACCTCGCCCTCGCCCTCGCCCTCGCCCTCGCCCTCGCCCTCGCCCTCGCCCCTTGTGCTGCCGCCCCTCCCATACTCCCACTGCTGCCCTGCCCCTGCCCCCACCAAAGCCGCGAGTGCAGCGGTGGCGCCACTCTCAGGGGCGCCGGGCAGCAGGTGCTGCGCGGAGGCAGCAGCAGGCAGCGCAAGGGGCCCCACAGCAGTACCGTGTGGGGCCGAGCGCACTGCTGCTTCGTCCCCACCCGCCCCGCTCATCCCCGCGCTGCCCATCAGCTGCACGCCCCACGCTGGCCGCCCCCTCGCGTGCCTCGCCTGCTGCTGCCTCAGCAACTGCCTCATCCCCCCCTCGCCCCCCCCATACACCTGCTGCTGCGCCAGCGGCAGCGCTTGCGGAGAGGCATCCAAGTGTGCGGGCTCCGGGGGGGTGTTGAGGCGCGGGCTCAGGCGGAAGGCGAAGGGGAGGGGAGACCGCGGCGAGGTGGTGGTGAGGCGAGGCCACGCTGTGGGCGAGGGGCGCGCAGACGAGGGGTGCGCGCGAGATAGGTCCCCATGCGGCGCACTCACCCCCTCATGGCCTGCGCCAGGGAAAGACTCTGCTGCTCCGCCTGCTGCCCCGCCTGCTGAGCCGCCCTTGCTGCTGTCCTCTGCCTCCTCGCTTCCCAGATCTGCAGAAAGGGGCACAGCCGAGCGAGCAAGGGTTTGGCAGGAGGGAGGTGTGGGGAATTGAGGCGGTGCAGGGAGTGGGGAGAAGGCGTGGGGCAGGGCGGAAGGGCGAGCGAGGGGAAGAGTTGGGCGAGGGGAAGAGTTGGGCTCACCTGCGAGGCAGACAACACGGCGCTGCCTTTTGGCCGCCACCAGCCCCTCCGCGCCCTCTCGCCGCCCCCCCTGCTGCGCCGCGCCCACTGGGAGCGCCCCTGCGCGCGTCGCCACGCCCCCCACCCGCGGGCTGCCTTCCACACTGTCCGCAGCAGCGCCGCCCCATGCGCCTGCGCCTGCCACGTGCTCCGCGGAGGGCGGCGCGCGCTTGGTGGAGCGCGGGCGCGAGGGGAAGGCGGCCCTGCGCGCGTGGGCGCGCGGCTGCAGGCAGAAGGCAAAGAGAGGCGGGCGGGGGATGGCGGGCACGCGCTGCTGCTGCGCTGCACTGCCAGGGCCAGGGGTGATGGGGGTGCCGAAGGGAATGGGTGAGGGGAAGGGAGAGGAGGCGGCCGGGCTTCTGGGAAGGCGCGCAGGAGTGGATAAACCTGCTGATGCCTCGGCACCTGCTGCTGCCGTGCTGGGTGCGTGCTGCTGGCCGTGGGAATCCCGCTGCTCCCGCTGCTCGTGCGTGACTGCTGCACCAGGTGACACTTGCCCCTGCTGCCCTGCTACCGCACGCCCCGCTCCTCCCTCCTGCTGCTGCTCCCCTCCCTCTTCTTGCTGCTGCTGCGAGTGGTCGAGTGGTGCCCTCTGCAGCGCGACACCACTCCCCCCCTGCCTCGCCATGCCACCCACCCCCGCTCCCTCGCCCGCCCTCTGCTCCGCTGCTGCCTCCGCACCTCCTGCTGGCTGTCCCGGGGGCCACGGCGTGGGAGACGCAGCGAGGGGCGCAGGAGACGGAGCGAGGGGCGTGGCCTCGCGGGCGTGCAGCAGCTGCAGCTGCCGCTGCCACTCGTTCACCTGCGCCTGATACACCTCCCACGGCGCGCGCTGCAGCGGCGGAGCGTTGCGTGACACGGGGGAGGAAGAGGGGGGCCGGACAGGGAGGGAGGGGCACAAGTGGAATGAGAAGGCAAGCTCGTGGGTATGTGCAAGAGAAACAATTGAAGGTCCCTAACCGACAACTATCGAGATGGGCAGAAAGATGCAAGTGCGTGCAAGAGAGACGAGCGTGCATGAGGCAACGCGCGGGCAGACAGACATGAGGGGCAGACATGAGGGGTAGACATGAGGGGCAGACATGAGGGGCAGACATGAGGGGCAGACATGAGGGGCAGACATGAGGGGCAGACATGAGGGGCGCAGACTGCGTGCTGCACGGCGGCGGGCTGTGGGCAGCGGGAGG